AGCTGCACAATGTACGTACAAATGTTGGCGATATGCTCGCAGTCGTGGTGCGTGATCGCCAAAACGCATACCAATAAAGTTATCACTGGATTATCCGTACTACGTGAAGCCACTCAACTATACCAGCTAATGGGGTTATAAATATAGCCAAAAGACTTAATAAAAGCGCTAATTAGCATTTTGTGACTTTTTATAATTTTGTATTCCTCATTTAAGCGTCACAACATGCTTTAGTTGGACTTTGCACCTGTAAAATTTTGAATTTGAGTTTTTTTACTTCGGTCTCATGAATGAATGGGTGAGCATTTGTAGCACGGAGAGTGTGTGAGTGAGTGATGAAGCAAATGTGCGATGGCACAAACTGTGATTATAAAGTTAACACAGAAACTGAAAGAGGCAAACGATTTTTACGCGCTTAGTAACAACGGTATTATGAGTTTCAGTCGCGAATGCCAACATTTSATTTTTTGTTAAAGTATTTCTAAAGGCTGAAGTTCGTTTGCGAGCACTTACACGCAGCTTTGAAATATTTTTGGATATTTCTRAGGAATTCCTATAAACTCAGCGCACGCATGTCTAATTTTGTATGCTTGTATGCATGCAATTATTTRCTAATCTTGTGAAATTGATTCATCAAAAGCGCCATGCTGGTCAATGCTCCGTTTAGGGGCATTCCTTCAATTCACGTTACGAACGCCTTCAAAGAAAATACAAACACCGTTTGCTTGGGCTTAGCGAAAATAAATTTATTTGTGCTAAATTTTAGCAACCTAAAATGAATAAATACATACATTCACGAAACTTTCCACAAACTTTTCTTTGACGTAATTTTCCCCAGCGCGCTTACACAAGCTAATATATACAAACACACACGCACATGCACATACAAGTACACGTAAAGCTCTGGCTGAAGGGAAACATGTCGCAAGGCATTTAGTTGCATATAGCGCGCTCGTCTGGCGACTGATTGGCGTCGAATTCAATTTAGCATGTATTAAATTTAATTCAATTTAGGTATTTCTTAATACCACAAAAATGAACGAAACTGCGCCGGCGCGCAACCGGTTTGCGCAAATCCTGTTTCGCCATCTCATCATTGCAACACGAGAAATGCCGCAACACTGATAGGCGGCTGGCGATGGATCGCCAGCGGGACGGGCTACTATGTGTCAGAACGCAAACATGTAACCCTTTTAGGTATAAGCAACAGCGGCARSSGTGTTCTTGGCATTTTCGTGCCATGGCGAGGAAAGTATGTGCATATGCATGTATGTTTATATGTACATATGTTGTTGCGGAAATTTGTCTGTATGTAAATACTACAAGGCCTGTGTGTCTCGATGTCACCAGAAATGGAATTTAAATTGCGGACTTGAGTTGGCCGAGCTGTGGGCAACTAAATCTGAGTCGAGCCGAGTTATATACATACATATGTACATATGTACATATATATATAAGCATTCAGAGCTGCCTAGAAGGTCTTCTGTTCTGCATATGTATATTTGTAACTTCTTATGTGTATATATGCTTTGCAATGTCCTATGATAAGACCCGATATTGCCACATGAGCCACGATTTAAAATAATTATTGGCGTTGAGTGTAGGAAGCGTGGAATTCTCACGTAGGCACCATTTTCGTACGAATATGTGGTGGAAAAAACGGAAGTCACTATGCTCATAGCAATTTCGAACAATACAAAGCTGAGCTACTGTAGAAAAGGGGTTTCAATAAAAAAAAAAGTATTTATTAAATGTCAAATTGCTGGTTTCATCTTTTAACTTATCAACTTAAGAAGTGTTTTCAGCAYAGCAATTTTATGAAGCCAATAAGAAATTGACAAGTATTGCCTATGTTTTGAGGAGTCTGAAGATAGCGAACATTGTTACTCACCCGACATACTCGAAGAAACGGAAACATTTAGGACATTGTTGGATTTGCCGAATCCTACGTTTACGTTGCCAATGTTACTTCTGCTAATTCTTCAGTAACGCAGAAACCATAAAGGTGATATTAGGTAGGTAGCTCGGGTGGATGTCTGTTGATGCATATAGGTCTTTAGGAGCTACCGAAGCTAAAACCTATTTATTCTCAAGGAGCCTCCCTGTACTCTTGATGAACTTTATCCATACAAAAAATTGTATATGTGCAACTTTCAAAATATCGGCAAGAAACCCACGACCGATATTTGTGATTCTTTGCCGAAACAAAGCAAAGAGTTCTTATGCTTTGAAATACCAAAAGCTCCGTTAGGATTGGAAAGGACCTCACCAAGCAGATACCAAACGAATTTTCAGACAAGGCGACTTCCTGTCGAGTGCYTTCTTCAATCTAGTCCTAGAGAAAATAATTCCAGCTACAGATCTGAATAGAGAAGGTACAATTTTCTATAAGAGTGTATGTATATCAATATACTTTGACTTAACAACCGCAATCTTAGTTCTACTTTCCTCAGTTTGGATAAAGAAACGAGGCAAATGGTTCTGGTAGTAAACGAGAGCAAGACGAAATATTTTCTGTCATCAAACAGACAGTTGTCGAGTTCGCGACTTGGTTCCCACGTCAATGTCGACAGTCATAACTTCGAAGTCTTCTTAATTTCATTTATCTTGGAACCAGAATTAATATCCGTACCAACAACTCAGTTCGAAATCCAACGCAGCATAATTCTTGCCAACCGAGTACGCAATTCAGAAGTAAAGTSTTTTGTTGACGAATAAAGATCAAATTCTATAAGTCATYCGTCATCCTTGCTCTGACTAGATCATTTGCTTCACAATTGCTAGGAATATAACTATGTCCTTCAACCAAATTCAGGTTAAAGGTGAAATAAAATRTTAGATCCACGCAACTGTCAGAGATTAAGACATTCTTCAATGAAATCATAAGAGAATTCAGTGCTTTCAAAGCCACTTGGAAATCTGTAGTTATAAGAATATTCTCCTTGTCAGTATAAGAAGGGCTTATTCAACTGCTGAGATCTCCGCTCGGAAGACCCTGCAGTGATCTGGTAGTCGGTAAGCGATTCTGGTATCTAATTTTGCYGAAAAGACTCTATTAGCTAGTTTKKACASTTCCYTAATACCTGTGTCCCTGTCCACCTTACCCTGTTTCGCTGCTCTCTGGAAGGGATGGCACTACCGAATGTTACTAGCGGTATTAGACACCGTACACCGACCCCGCTCTTTGGTAGACCATGAAGTATGTTCAAAACAATTTCGAGTACATTTCAGAGTTTAAAAAACTTCGAAACAAGTTCGTCAGTTGTTCAGAGTTGGTGTTGGTCATATTAGTGTCCCTCCATATGGTGGTTGATATCGAGTCACACTTCGAAAATGGAATAGTATGTATGTATAAATATTTTTGTTGTCCTAATCTATTGAATTAAACTAGAAGAACTCTAAATTCTGCAATTATTATTCGAAGGGTTTAAATTACACTTATCTACCTTTACGAGATCGTAAGCACTACAAGACAGAAACTACGCACCGATCCTTACTATGAGAGAACCTTTATGGTCCAAAGAAGTATTCCGACATTCGATTACAGTTATTCTGATTAACTACATGGTCTGTTCTCTGCCAGGAAAATATAACTAACATTATATTTACATTTACATTTTTTCGCATACAATCCTAGCCGGTTAGACCTCATTGCAACTGAGTATTGATGCTTTCGAGTGTAATTTATAAAAAACTTGTTCGAAACTTCAATAGCTTTTCGACTTTAGAAAATCCTAACAAACCAAAGAAAGCGACTTACTAATCCATGGAACTAAATCCTTTAGCTTTTCTGACAACATGCTATATAAAAACGAATGGGATATCCTTGTTTATTCATTGGACTTGCTGAAGTGCTTATTTTAGCAATAAACGAGAGGAGGTTATGTCATAATTTCTGTTCAAAAAGATGTTAATAATAATGATTAAAATATCTTTAGTAAATTCGCTATGTATGGATAATTATGCTAATATTTTGAACGCAATTGTGACAGAAGTCGAAAAGAGCTAAAAAAACGGAAAATTGCTTTTAATTTTGATTAAACTGACCATAAATATATATAAAAGAAACAGAACTGTACAGAGTTGTTTTGAAGATGATCAATCTAAAGTGTCGAGATCAGCCTTGAGGTCATAAAAAAAATCAATAAATTGCCCACCGTTTTTGCGGAMCAATGCGGCATTAAAACTACGATAMACGAGCCGCATTGAATTACTAGGYAGGAGGACAACGTTTAACTGTAAGAAGAAATAAAACAAAGGACAGTATTTATAAATGAGCAGGAGGCAATAAGGGAGTAGCATAGGAATTGGGTTAGCGGAAATTTAATGATATTTACAGTTTAAACTGCAATCAAGCCAATTACGTGCAGCTGCCATAAGGCGAAGGAAAAAGAGGCAATATATATGTGAATGTAGATATGTATATGGATATATGTATATGGATATATGTATATGGATATATGTATATGGATATATGTATGTATATAAATATGTATGTACGAATATATCGTAATATGGTGGAACGTAAAGCCGATTCCTATGAAGAGGGCAAACTGAAAGTGTCAAGTGTAAACTTGATATCGGTGACCTGGGGCAATGCGAAATTTATTACCAGCAACCGTTGCAAAGCGCAAGGCAACGTGCGAATCGATCCTGCCCCGATCATTTGTTGGCYGCAGCTAAAAATAACACACTGATAAGCAGTTGGAAGAGTAATGGCAAGATGAAGCATATAAAAAAGCAACTCAAGGACACGCTAGAGCTGACAACGGCATTTCTGGTTTCTGATTTTGCGAGCATAACCGCAATAGTAGCGGACACCACAGGCGGTATCGTATTTCGGCGCATCAGCCGGACCAGGTTTAATTTAGTAAACTATTTTATGTTTTGTTTTGCTGTTTCAAGAATCCATTAAGAATATCCTAAGTACAGCTGTTCRCATTGAAAAGGGTCGAACGGACGCTGTGCRCAATTCGTATAAATAGGCAGGAGTGGACAGTGTGTGACATCAGTTTTGTTTCGAGCAGCAGGCGAYGTACTAGGCTACTTCCGGCAACTCCGTGTGGATTTACTTTGCGAACGTAGCAGTTGTGCGATACCTACAATATATACTGAAGGAGATAAGTGCATCCATAATACAGAGAAGCAACAGCGATGCGGTTATTTGTGGTTTCGGTGCTCAGCTTGTTGGCGGCTAGCAGTGGCGCTTATGCGGCCGCAGTCGCCGGTTATCCATATCGTGCGGAGCTGCTAGCTTACAGTCCAGCGCGTGGTGAATTCGYTGCAGTGAATGCATTAACACCGGACTATGCGCACTATATCAATCAACAGGCTGCGGCGCAAATATTCGGTTACAGATATCCAGAGCAGATTGAAAGCAGGCGAATTACTTATGAAGAATATTTAAATCAACTGGCCAAAGGTACACTGAAGGATGAGACCGAGCTTATAAAAAAGCGTGATGAACATTTTCGGTTATGGGCCGTACATGTGTACGATCAATATAGACAGGAATTGGAACGCCTAAAAGCTGCGGGTAAAGAGCCTACAGCAGATATGTTAGCAAAAATCAACGCTTTCGAGGTTGTACTAACAGCGCCTAAAAGTGACTATAGTCAAGAAACTTCAATAATCAAGCAGCTGCGCGAAGAGCATTTACGCTTCTGGAATGAGTCAAGAAGCAAAGCGATGTTAGCTCTGCAGCAGGAAGAGCAAGGCAAAGTGCAGCAAACTGGCGCTGCGATGTCAACAAYTTATTTACCGGACGCARGCGAAAAGCTGATCCAAAATGTGCCRACACAGGCTGTATTCTTAAGCGAAACAGCCGAGCAGAAGAAGGCGCGTGAAGAGCACTTGCGCATCTATCAGGAGCAAGTGCAGCGCGTGCAAGCCTTACAGGCGTCAGCTGAAAAGCTCAGCGACAGCAATGACGTACAATCATCGAAAGTGGCGCGCCTTGAGCATACAGCCGAGGAAGGCGTACATCAGCCGGCACAGGGTGTGACAATAGTTGAGCATTTGAGTTACTTGCAGGAGACGCCAGAAGTGCAGCGCGCCAAGGCGGAGCATTTGCGCTTATGGAATGAGGCAAAATTGCGCGCAGAGAAGGAAGAGAAGGAGGAGAAGGAAGAGAAGGCGGAGAAGGAAGGCAAGAAATATGAGGACAAGCAGCTGCAAAGTCAAAGTGGCGTAGAAAAATTGGCACAACAGACGTCGGAAACTCAGAATCTCATACAATCGGATAATACCTATTTCGAGCAGCAAAAACAATTGTCAGATGCTTTTAAAAGCGTTCCGTTGAGCGGAGTCGTGCCGACCAACGAGCAAAAGCAAGAACAAACGCTTACACCTGTGCAGGATACGCCGGAAGTGAAACGCGCACGCGAAGAGCATTTACGCGAATTCGAAGAAACATTAAACAAAGTATTCGTTGCACCTTTAAATAGTGAAAACGCACCTAAACTGGCAGCACAACAGCCTGCTTTCACGCACACACTACAGCAAAGCGCGCCAGCAGCTAATAACGAAAAGTTAGCTACTGCAAAATCATCCCTGCAAACAGATACTTATCAGAGTCAGCCGCAAGTGCACGCCGGCGTGCAAGAAACAGCAGAGGTGCAGCGCGCACGTGAAGAACATCTCAAGCTGGTGAAGGAAGCACATTTGAAGGCGAGTCAGATATCAAAGACAGAAACGGTCCAAACCGAAACTGAAGTAAAACCCTTATTATATGACGGGTCAACTGATAAACTCGCGGAGGAACAATTCGCTGATGAAGAAGCGCGTTTACGCGTAGAGGAAGCAAAGCAGCGTGAAGTTGAACTTTTAGCCGAAACTGAGCGCTTRAGAGAAGAACAACGCTTACAAGCTGAAGAGCTGTTGCGCTTGCAACAAGAGGAGCAACGTCGTCAAGAGCAGGAACGTTTGGATCAGTCAAATGAAAATAAGGAAGCTGTGCATTACGCAGAAAAACCACAATTACCGATCGCGGCACCCCCAAAGGAGACACTTGAGTCATTAATACAGGTACAACACCAGTCGGATCCGGCTGCTACCTATGACATACGCGATACAGAAAAATATGCAGCCAATCCATATTTATTACGTTACGCCATACCGAGCGGTAATGTCAAACAGATCGGYACGCCCATTGCGACTACTGCCTACTATATCGGTGCACAGAAACCCGCGCAACCACAGCATGGTTACGCCAATCCCGGCGTTTACTATTTGCGCGATGCCAMTGAGGGTTATCTCAAATTGGATAACCCYTACTTCCTGCATTACATAAACAATCAACARGGTGGTAAGGATACGTTAGCAACAGCTGATGCGGCGTCTCTGGCCTCCGCGCTAGCCGCCTTGCATCAGGCGCAAAAGATCGAACAGCCAATCGCTGCAACTTTCGGCCAGAAGCCAAGTGGTGCACTGTCCGTTCCGATTGCTCCCAGTGTACCCCTTACACCACTAGCACCAGCAGCACCCACACTTCCAATTGCTCCGCTCGTGCCGAACGCCGACAATATGAGAATTGTCTACGGCGATGATGCCGCTTTGGCTGCTTTGGAGAAGGCGACACGTGAGCATTTTCGCGCGCACGAAATCGCCTTGGAGCAGTTACGTTTAGCCAATCAGAAACAGTCGCCGTTGCAGAAAGATTGCTATTGAGCACTTTAAAAGTGTTACTTAAACTTCTTCATACTTGAACACAGCTGATATTTTTTTCATTTTCATGAAGTTTAGTTTAGAATTTTATAAGAATGATATAAAATTTACATTGAGTTCTCTTCTGGAGGTATTGTAAGTTGTAATTTTTACTTTGTATCTTGTAATTTAAGAAGCAACTATTGAAAAACAATAAAAAAAAGAGTTCCATGGAATACACTATTTGAGAAATTGTAAATTATTGTCGTGGAAGGAATAAAACAACAAGAACAAAGTTATTTAGTAAATTTCAATATAACACCATAAATGTATGTAGATACCTTACTAAAGCATTGTCAATGGTTGCCATTGTTGARTTGTACCTGATTATGACAGTTTAGTTCATTTATACCAGAAGCTTATTCGATTCGATGCTCTTCAAGAATGGTATAATAGAGGATTTTAGAATCTGAAGAAAAGAAAACTCTCGAGACTTTTTATTGATGAYTTTTCAATCAAAAACAATAAAAACGTTAACTTATGATTCACAGTTGATAATGTATCGCTTACAAATAGAAAACTTTTCCATACACGAAATTGATTTGATCGATCCGTCAGTTTGATGGTAGCTCAATCGTATATATGTATGTAGGACCGATATCAATCGGCTCCGACAACTATCCAACTTCTTGGGTGGAAAATGACGTATGCTAATTTTCAGCCCTGAACCAGATACATATTTACATAAATTAAGTAAACTGTGAAGTCGGTAATGACTTCATAAAATATATACTTCATAAGATATGTCCCAGATTGCCCGTCATACTACTACTTTACATAAGGTATACGGAGAGTAGGGAAAGTTTTGATCCATTTGTATACATTTCGACTTTTTGTTCTTTGGTGATATTTACGTTACTTCAAAGAGCTTACTTCAGCATTTGGGGTCAAAATAAACAAAAAAGTTATTCTGCTGCCTCATGTTGCCAAATTCGTTAAAACCTACTCAAAAACGCGTAAATGAATAATCCTACCCCATATAAATGTATATATTCCGCAGATATTGCACTGTTCGGTTATTATTTGCTTCGTTCGTTTTCATTTACAAGACGACATCGAAAAATGACTTTATTCTTGAATAGCATCACAAGATAATCTGTTTCACCTTAATGGTACCCGAGCTTGCATGTTTTTTAAACAGTAAGGAAGAGCTAAGTTTGGATTAAAGCTAGGGAATTACCTTCAGGTAGATAAGGTCTGGTATGAGTCTAGGGCGAGTTTTGTGTGTTAATATGTTATAAGAATAAGAAGATAACTCACAAATTGGCTGATGTATGYGGTGCAAAGCCACCCGGAAGTTTGAAAATCTTTATACTAATTATATGGGGGCTAAGGGAAGAATTGATCCAATTCCCGCACGCAGACAACCAAGGAAGGATTATCTCTGAATTTTAATTATAAATCTGACACATTGATCAATATTTTCGGTAAAAAGTTAAATATAGATGCTGAGATGAAAACATTCGGTACCTAGGGSCTTTGAACAGTTTTCTKCTATTTAAATAATTTTCGGTCATAAAACGGCATGTTSTAAAGGAATTATTCGTGTAATTTTTTATGTCGTTATATTGATTACTTCTTGATCTGTACACTGGAAAGGAAAGAATCAGWTGAAATTCAAAATTGTGTTATATGGGAAGTAGACGTGGCTGTATTTGCCTATTTTCACGCTGTAACACAAAAATGTCATAGGATTGCCACATGSCAAATTTCATTGAAAACGATCGAGCGSGTCTYGTGATATGTGATTYWACCTAAAARTGGGCAGTGCYAGGCCCATTGTTCGATTTTGACACCGKYTCATATRARGTCCTCCCATACCATCKCGGTCGTAAAATTTAATGTCTCTAGTGTATTTTGTTATTGATTTATCAAGCTATTAGTAGTTCTTAACAGTACCGTTATATGTGGAGTGGGTAAGGTTATCATCCATTGCATCCAATTTCTCACTGCCGGTAGGATATCTGATAATATTTGCGACAAGCAAATTTGTTTGTTGTAGATTAAGTGGYTTGAGAGATATGTACATTAAGCTTATTAAAGGGCGGGGCCACCCGCCACAGGGGCCCCTTGCTACTGCGATGCCCCGTGCCAAATGAGTGGATCTAAATTTTTCTCAAGTTACAGCTTGCACKGACGGACGGACGGTTATTATTTACTTATACATTCATGTATTCTGTATATATGTACATACATACATATATATGTATGTATCTCGATTAGTGTCCAGTTTTGCAAAAAGTTCCTGACCAAAACTCTGACACATACAATAATTCCTTATTTTTAAATAAAATCAAATAATCACACATTTTTAAGGTGTCCTCTTTTTCCGCTACTGTATGTTGTGAGAATATAAAATATATCTACGAATGGTATGTCTTTTAAATATATGTATCTAAAATAAAAAAACCGAAAAACTAAAAGTGCTCTAAATCCACTTTTACACTAACCTGCCAATTCAGGTAACGGTGCAACTGTGCGATAAAATTTGCATTGAGACTACTGTAAAATATGCCAGAATAGCGGTATTACTATTTCAAAACAAATCTATATACAGGTGCCCCTGGAGCGATTGTCTTGCAAGTGAGYGATTATCACAAATTCCATAAGAATTGCAAATAAAATCTAGTTAACGGCATAGAAACGGAAAAATTGCAAAAAAAAAAAATGTTAAAATGTAAATTTTTGCAAGAATAACAACGCGATGAATGTAAACAAAACAACGCACGGAAATTATGCGGATAATTGAAAAACACCTGAACGGCGCCATTACAACGCTTCCATAGTGTGTATGATTGATTGTTTGGCGATCAGTTGACCGTTATTTATTAGCATAACGCAGGCATATAGCAAYTTCAACTGCCTCCCACCACGGCAAGAGTTTTTCGCCAGTTACTAGGCGTGTGTTGCTGCGCAGATAGTTGTATGGAAATTTCATAAGTACCGCAATAGAAGTATTTAGGCCATAACAGTATTGTAGTTGAGTACATATTAATCAAAATACACACTTTAATAGATTATGCATGTATTTATACATACATATGTATAGAGTAAACAGCCTCGCGACAGGTTGGCGAATGCCGCTGAGTGAATATAATTGTTTTTATTGGCTTGGTTTGAAGCCGCCTAACGTTTATGGGCAGCAGCTGCTCTCATCCCGTTATCTACGCAGGCACAGATCGCATATATTCAAATGCTCGTCGGTACTTACACACATAGGCACACATGCAGATACAATGAAGTCATATGCGCCRAGTACGGCTGCCGCTGTTGCCAAGTTCATTTCACTTTTCGCGCGGCCGCGTGTTGAAATTAGCATTTTTCTAGATTTTTTTTAAATAGTATACACATTGGAAAAGACCACACGATTTTATTTCTAKCGCAGACATTTATCAAAATTTTATGCAATCACCAGATTATTCACACCTTTTTGTTTATATTTATTTCTTTTTTTTTTGAAATTTTCGCTGTTGAACCAATTCATGACCTACCCCAAGCCAATTTGGGAAACTACTTAATAATTATCAGTTTCCAAGCACTCTAAATTTGGCAAAAAAAAATTAGTTACTCAGCACTTCTATGAATTTAACGCGTGCAAATTGCGTACAAATCGACGCAAAACGCGCGAGATAAGATAAGATAAGGGAAAGCAGAAACCTACCGTTTTAGTTTATGGCAATTGTGCAGCCAGATAATTTGACTACCGAAAATTTGCATGAATTTGATCATAAAATATAATAAACGTATATACATAATATATAATTCTGTGTATAAATGCTTTATTACATATAAATGGTATTTTTTAAGAGGAATGGAAACTGTTATATTGACAGCTTTCCATTTAGGTTCAGTGTACTTCGGTAAACTCGCATATTCTGCTTCAAATTTAAGATGAGTCAAATTTCAGGGTACATATAGTAAATCATCAAATTTTCATATTGCGACATTACTAAATAGACATTCTTGGCTTCATTACATCCACAAAAAGATTGATAAAATCTGAAGTTGGAATCAATGTTAAGGTCAATGTCGGGATGTATGCATTATTTTTTCACGTCAATATCAATCATGTAAGTGTTAAATGTTTCCAGCACTACGGTCCGAAAAGCCGGCTCTTTAAAAGGATGCACTTCTGAAGACCGAATCATATCCAGAAAAGGTGTTTGACTACTTTTTATGTGAATGATATGTGCTGATAAACCAGCTCCGACGGAGTCCACTCATTATTCAGCGCTTTATTGGCGGGACAAATTTTTTACTTATAGTATAGTCTCCAAAATATGCTTTAATTTAATTTCAAAAAATTTATAACGGATTTAAGTATATCAAAAATGTGATAAATGCGAAGCACTTCATGAAAGCTTTTGGAAATGATTCACGAAGTCTTCAGTTCGGAAATACTTATTTTGGAAAAGCGAAAAAAGGAAAACCGGCAATGATACCAAAACTTGTTATGCTGGTTCTTTGGTACACAAAAATTACCAGTTCSTAGATGGGGAAATCGAATTATTGCCACGCATACTGAACGCCATTAAACGATAATCTATACAGTTTTTTTTTTAATTTCAAATGTTGGCCGCCGCTGCCTTTTAAATGGTCCATCCATTGAGTCCAATTTTCGAAGACTCGTTCGAGCATTTCGACTGGTAAGCGGGATTGTCGCATAGACTTTAGAAAGTCTTTACATATCCCCACAGGAAAGAGTCTAATGATGTGATATCACACGATCGTAGTGAAATTATCGGCTAACCGAAGTTTACTCCCAAGAAATCCATTGAATGAAGCGATGTGTGGGAACTGGCGTCGTCTTGTTGAAACCAAATATCGCCGGGATCACTAGCTTCAATTTCAGGCATTCAATAGACGTGTATCGAGGGGCAATGACGGTTTCGTTCTCACTGGCATCATTTTTGAATTAATATGGAACGATGATTCCACCGGCCCGTAAACCGCACCAARTCGTTGTTTTTTTTTATGAAATAGTAGCTCTTGCATCTCTTGAGGTTTCTCTTCGTCCCAAATACGGCAATTTTTCTTRTTTACATACCCATTGAGCTAGAAATGGGCCTCTTCGCTGAACAAACTTTGGCAAGAAAACCCCGGATCWTCTTGGAACTTTTCAAGAGTCCATAGAGCGAAGCGGTATTGTGTACTTCTTCCATTTAAGATCTCGACGCAAAATGCGCCAAGTCCTTCCATACRTCAGTCCGAGTTGCTGCGAACGACGCCGAATCAACTCTCCACAATCTTCGTGCACASTCTCAGCTACGATTACTATATTTTCTTCACGTCCATGAGGGACGAAGATTATCCAATAATTAATTGTGGCTCTCAATTGGTGGTKATTCCAATAGTATGCTCAGWAGGTCGATTATGTTGACCATAAGTTGAGCGAAGCCCGTGAAACACATTCTTTACAGAACGTGAATTTTCGTATTAAAGTTGAAAGATTTGTAAACGTGGTTCAGGCGTAAGTCTTTCCATAATGAAATGCCAAATAATGCTRAACAAAAATAACATRATAGYTTGACACTACTCACGTGTGATCTCTCAAAAAAAAAAAAAAGGTATTGAAAATCACCTCTAAGGATCACCCGTTATAAGGAACTCGCACACATTCACTTTCACGTTTCATATTATATTATATTATATTTAWGTTTTCATTTATGATTCAATAACTTTCACGTCATAGGTTTTTCCAGCGGTGACCATAAGCCAAACCGGCATTTAAGCAAACTTATCACACCAATTTCCAATTTTTGATAAACATACATGCTAATATCTTAGCAGAGATTACACTTTTCCGTTGTATATCTAAGTGAATCATTGTTGGCGCATTATTCACGACAGCACCTTTGAGTAAGGTGAGAAAGCTTTCCTATTACGTTACGTGGGGTAGCATTATTCACTCTATAAACAATAAATAGTAAAGAAAATCAAAGATAACAAAAGTATCACAACATGTGACTAAGATGGAGTCTGATCTAAATAAATTTATACAAAATCACACATGTAGCTCTCAATGCGTTCTAGTTCCGTTTACAGCCGTAAAAAAGGAATAACTTTGAGAATTTATGCGGTGAGTAAAGAAAGGGGTCCCAATTCTTTTTTTTTTCAGGGTTAGTAAACACATATTTCACAAAAAATGTCGCTTACTGAGTTAATCTTCAAGTTATACTTTTAGAAGAGGGTCTATACGATCATARAAGATTAAAAATGTATTATTGACCGACAAATTTTCCATTATATTGTGTGTAAAAAATTTCATTTAAGAATATTTTAGTCTAATTTTTTCCATATTTCGATAGTTTCGATATTCACAAATCTCCCTGAAAGAATCTTGTCCTTAGCAAAGTTCATCTTGCCACAATCGTTGTGGTTATTACTCAATAATGTCCAATATACTAAAAGTTTGTCCGGCGCAAAATGCCAAAGTTGCAAGGAGAAGGGTGAGATGAAAACTAGATACTTTCTCCTCTATCGTCCAGCCTTTGCAAGTCTGAGGTTGAARCATCTCGGCAGCCTTACCTTCGGCGAACAAGGAGGCATAGGCGAAAGTGACATCAGTATCAATAAATTAGCRCTTTTTTAGACCCCAACATCTAGAAGATCTTACGTAATCTATTATATAGAAGTTTTAAGTACCAGAACGGGCTAGCGTTGTAAGCTGTCAAAGTGAGATCCCTGTTAGGATCGACCTCATAAGCCAAACCAACCTTAAAAGATTTTTTCCTATTTACTTTCAAGGTTTTAGGCAATTATACATATTTGAGCGTAACAAAGCAAGTCGAAGTTTCGGTCGAATATCCCATGTTCTAATCAGTCGGTTTTTCTGAAATTTGTCATGGATATTCTTGRAATATATCTCTATACTATAACTGAATTTTTTTTGTAGAATAGAAAAAAATCGAAAAAGTTAAAAAATAAAATTTTAAAATTTTTTAAAAATCTACTTCACTTTCGAGCAGCATGGCATCAATAGATTTTTCCCGTTTTGTTGTTACTTATGACATTTGTATCAAAATTGTTTTTTATTTGTCMGGTCATCAGCAGATTAAAAATCGTGACGATAAGTGAAAAACMTTTATCGATTTTGTAAAAATCCTTAATTGGTCCCTTAAAGTGCTAATAAATATATTTCCAAACACTTCCGCATTTRTATAAATATTAATAATACATTATAAAATAATTTCCACCTATATTTATTTGTATTCATGCTTRCAGTTATTGCGCACTGTATTCTAATTTCACCTGTACATATATAGTATATGCGCATAGTAAATAACCTTATAAGCACCTGCTCAGCTGACTCCAGGGCGTATGCGCAAAATAAATTGCATAAGCAATCTGTGAAATTCGTTTATTTTGCTTATCTAAATAGTAAAATCAGATAATTGCGTTGCCGGCTACAGAGCATGGATTTATTATAACAATTCTATTTTGATATTACAAACACTGACAATTTTTTTCGATTTTCTTTTCTTCTATTTATAACMGTTAATACGGTAGTAACAATGGCTGATGCAAATTTACACACCAATTTGTTCAGCGCCCCCAGCTTAGCTGCTGGATTATCAAAATGGGTTAGCGGTTTGCTTATAAGCATACACACATATGAGTATGCTTGAATATCCTCCAATAATTGGTGAATCCGTTGTAATTGTTTGACATTAATTAATTTCAACATGACATGTTGCATACTTGAGCTGTCTAGACTGCAATGAAACATGTATGAGTGAGTCAATGACATTGGAAATATTCCTAAATTTGATATAATCGCAATGTTATCACCAGCATGAGTAAGCGTGGTATTTAAATGCATTTGTGGAAAAACACTAAGCTAACCGTACATGCGAGTAGTGTGTGATCTTAATTGACCAAAAGTGTGTACATAAAAACTCTACATTTATTGCGGAGTTTCAGGCGCTTATGCCATTAAGTAAGGATATGTAGGTTATATATAAACATGCGAGWGTCCATTAAAATGCATTACTGTCATAATAGTTGGCTTCTCCACACTAAAAATAAACCCAATTGAATGAAGTTGAAACAATTTGGTGTCAGAAGACTTGGTACTAACTGTTATCTAAGCASTTATTAGTTGCACATGATGCAGTAGTTCTTGGAAAAATAATTGGGTAACTAAGTTTTACTTATAACTTGATTATGATCGTAAAATTTGTATGACAGCTATATTTTATGGTAGTCCGATTTGAAAAACTGCTTCAGAAAATATAACGCCGCCTCGGTCATTAATTCATGCCAAACTTTGTGCAGATATCTTATTGAATGATAAAGTTTTCCATACAACAACTTGATTTGGATCTGTTAGTTTGTAAGATAGTGAGCCTCAGCATTCATTATTGGATAATATTCGACTGAATAGACTACGCTCAATACGCAGTGAAGAATTAGCTTGTGCAAGAACTGAAACCGCTCGAYCTTCGCTTTATTGGCTCTTGAAAAGTTCCAAGAACTTCCGACGTTTTCCAGTGATAAGCGATTTCTGGGAACTGCGTGGCAACGTGGTCTTGTCTTACCACATCATTTTTACTCCCATCACCACTATTTCTAGATAATTTTTGTAAGTATCTATTATTTATCTATTTCTGTGGCTGGCTCTCATGTTTAGTTTAGTCATTTGTTGGCCTCCTTACGAAATCGAATTTCATAAGAGATAAGAACAAGAGTTCACGAAAGATCGTAGTAGCGACAGGGCTACGTTCTATTACGGCAGATACGAGTTTTAATATTCATATCTTAGAATGACAATGGAAAATATAATTACCGTAACATCAAAACTTGTATGACCAAGTAGTTTGTTCTTGAGTGGAGAGATCAAAATGAAGTCATTAATTTCTTGTTGTTGTTGTAGCGGCAGAATTCTGTCAAGTTGACAGTCCTTGACTGGATAAAAAATCCGGGTTCGTTTCGGTTACATAGATCCGACTGTCGTGGGAACGGTAAGTCATTAGGTGCATCGTCATGGTTAAGCAACGAATGGGAAATCATCAAATCCTTGTGTCTTTGGCACATAGAATTGCATTTTTTCATTACAGTCATCATGAGTTTGTATTGAGGTTCATTTGAGAATTGGGTGGGATTCAAAGMAAATTACAAACGATAATGATTTCCATATACGTTCGACAAGAATCGATGRTCCTGAGACCCGGTAATACTTGATAGATGTGGAGTCTATTACTAAGATGTCATTAGTATTTCATAAATGAAGAGAACCTCACCAAAACTTCTAGTCAAATTTATAGAGATACCAACTTATATTGACACATTTTATTTCGAGTGTGTAAACCAAAACAGCTACATATATTTACAAAAAGCGRAAATCATACATCTGCTAAGTAACCTATTAACCTATTTTTTCTAAACCAGAATATGCCGCTAATGTGGAACATCACAATATGTATTTCTTTTTGTACTTGAAATCTGTACTCGCAGCACCAAAGTACGCTCGAGTGCATAGAAGGCATTTAGTAATACTTAATCGAGCGTTTATCATTAGCACATGAGTAACGAAAGTGATGAAAGTGAAAGTCCCTACCATTGCACTTAGTACCATACATTAGTGCGTTTCCTCATAAGCAGGCATGACTGCAAATTTTCAAGGTGAACACAATATTAGCCGAGAGAATATTCGCGTTTACTCACCCACTTGACCAGCGGCAGGGCGCGTGATCTCCAGCGTGACGTACGAGTCGCGACGCCCACAAATGCGACGGCAAAGCAGGCGATGGCGGAGCGGGAGGCTTGCTCACCAGACGCCGCAACAACATTTTGGTTTGTATGTGTTAGAATATGTGTGTTCCCATTAATCGAGCTGTAAATAAAAGAATTTCACTTGAATTAACGTAAAGCAAAACAAATCAATGAAGACAACGAAATATACATATGTAGTTGTACATTTGGGGCAAAGTCTCTTGTGGGTATATTTGGCTGAACCATTTCTATTTGTAGAGGTGGCTAAAAATAATTTCGACAAAAATAATATTTGGCAGTCTACATGTGACAATCGATTCGACGTAAGTTGTGAACATGTTGACTTACATACATACATAAGTATATAAAATACATAGTGGTGTGATTAATAGTCCAAGCGATTCGTAGAATTCTTCTGCACTCTGTCTGCCATTGCTTCTATCTACTTTGCCTTATCTTATCGACTGTTTTAAGTTAATATGTGAATTGCTTCCGAATTTTGCGAAAACAAAAACAATACAAAATAGAAAGTATTATATACATATGTACATATAATTATAAGTATGTATGTGCATTAGATCGGGTCGACTCGTATGGAAAAGGAAAACAATTTTGCAGGTTACATGGGCTTTCTCGGGTAAAAAATAGTATTTTTTTCAACGGTTTTTTCTCATATAAAAAATGATATATTTTATTAGAATTTTTTATTTTTACATAAATAAAATAAACTATCAATCAAGAAATTCTGAAATTTTTGGGGGGAAAAAAAATAAACTCGGCTATTGCGACGRCATTTTCAGTGACCTCTCTTAAAGAAGATGCATATGCGGTGTTACGATAACTCCCTCTTAGAACATCATCTGAAACAAAAAAAAAATTACGAGTTCTATTTAAAACCTTAATACAGAACTTGAACGTAGGAAAAAACTGAAAATTGAATTTCTGTCAGACAAAAAAATTAAAATTTCAGTGAAAATATTGCGACTTTTTTGTTTTCAAATAGTTATCCATAATCGGGAAAAAATCCTTCGTCCAAGTAGCTTAGAATTTTATCTCAAAGACCAGTGTCAAATTTCATGAAGACCAGTTGAGTAGTTCTCGAGAAATCTTGCCAACCGACTTCAAAAACATAATTTCGAGGGAAAGGTGCTTAAAGATTTCGCCCTTAGCCTAGCTAATCTTGAGCGCACAAGTTCTCAAGGCTGTATCTCAGGAACTATTACTCGGATCAACTTGAAAATTTAGGACAATATTCTCGAGGTGTTGCAGAACTTAATAAGATAATAAAAATTCTCGAATTTTTAAAACCCGTAAATCCATGTAACCTCTTAATTGATTTGGCTCTCATGTAGAATAATTATGATTTGTCGAACATTTTCCGGATTCGCGATTTTATTGAAAAAAATTGACCCGCTCTAATGTGTATGTATGGAGACATGTATGTACATATGTATGTATATATTATATTATCAGGTTTTGTGGTGCTTCCCCTTATAGATCGCTTGTGAAATACAAAATTTCTTTAAACATTTTATATATGGGTGATGCGTATACCCACGACCACCGCCACCACCGGCCTGCCTCTTTTAGAAATTATTGCTTCTGATTAATTTATGTTTATTACATTATTTGTTTTTGTTATTGAGTTAATTTCAGAACAAATGTGGCATGCTAATATAGTGCTATATATTGTCGTTTGGTTGCTTGTTCCGGAGTTTTTAAGTGGGTGTTCCATAACACAAAACCAAATATGGACCTGTATACATACATGCATATAATACATCCCTATATACAGAGTCACCCACACACATACATATGTAGGTATATTTATATCGGAACCAAGTTATCACAATAGCTTTTTAGACTCTTATCTTTGTCACTGGCCCATCAAGTGTTTTTTATTCACAGGCCTCATAACTGACAAGCAATTCTGCATAAGTAGCTGTAAATTATATATTTAAATACATACATACATATATTCAATTTATTTGGCGGCGCTCTGTGTTTGTTGATTTTCATACTTCCTTGGAAGTGATAACCTAATTTACGAATACCTGTTTGTTTGTTTTCCACATACTTAGTGCCAAGTGGAAGTGTGTACTTTAGAGTGACAATTTCTGAAATTAGCCTGCAATTTCTCCAGACAGAAAACTTAAAGCTATTTTTAGTACAAAATTGAACAAAATTAAATAAGCGTATTTCTAATTATAATGGCTAAGATAACAAATATTTAAATATTTTTCTAAGAAGGTAGTGTTTCGGCACAATTTTCTCTCAAAATATGAAGATGCGCACTTTTCAAGTGCAAATATGCTGTGCTTCATTTAGTCGAAGTTTATTTATTTGAGGAACTCCTCCATGTAAATATTTTGAATGAAGCGTATTTACGTGGGTTTTCGAAAAAATATGCAAAAAGAGGTGAAAAAGATAAGGAATGCGTAAATGTCTAAAAATTCAGTTATCCATCTGTGGACCTTGGCTTTTTTCACTTCTATTTGAGTCCTATATTTTAGCCTTACTCTTAATGAATTGTTTAAATAGCGACCTGCATTGGCTTAATTATTAATTGTGGTGTGACTTAAAAAGCTTATGCTCTAAACCCTGAATTTGGCTTCAATTATTTTTTCTGGCTATTTTTATATTTTTCGAAGTTCTAATTTTGACCTCCTACATGTAGCATCGTTCTTATTAGCCGGAGAAAAATATTATAATTGCAATCTTGAATTTATGTACATATATACATATTTCGATTGTTGACCAAGGATGTGGTGATGATAATGAATAGTACATGGACTGTATACATAAGAAATAGACTCTAACACCGGCTAACGGAAAAATATTTCACAAGTATAAGCTATAAGTATACATAGTTGTCTTGTCGATTTCGAATGTATATGAGGCGAATCGGGATATAAATAGTATTCTGTGTCTGGATTGGTTTAGAGCTGGGTATTCACAGAGAAAGTGGAAAATGATTAGAGAAAAATTGTTATACGGCAGACCCATTTTTATCGCATGTTCTTCAAAAGGCTAGGACATATTATACAAGGTGTGTTCCAAAGTAAACAGGACTAATACAAAAAAAAAAAAAAATGATTTTCCCTGCAAAATCAATTTATTTTATGTAAAATAGTCTCCTGCTGCTTCAATGCAGCTTTTTTCAGTCCAAAAGCATGTCGAACGAGTGTTTTAGCTTGTTGGAAGGAATGGTTGCCAGTATGGCCTCTACGTCTGCATAATGCTTTTCTTTAATGGGCAAATGCATTTTTCTGAAAATGAAGAAGTCGCACGGTGTCATATCAGGTGAATACGGGGAGTGGTTAGTGGTTAAAATTTTATTGTTGGTCATTTAATCAGTCAGAATGATGTCCTTCGAATGTTTGATTCTGATGAAATATTCAGTCGAAATGCGATAAATCGGTGTTTTGGGGATGTTCAATTCCATTTCCATGAATTTCAATGATGATTTTGACTGATTTTTGATGAATTCACTCACATTTTCGATAGAATTTCCGGTGATCATGGATTTTGATTGGCCCACATGTTGATCGTCATTTATGTCCTCACGACCACTTTGAAAACGTTGAAACCACTCGAGCACTCTTCTATGTGAAATTCAATCATCGCCATAAACTTKTTTCATCAATTGAAACGTTTCGGTAAAAGTTTTACCAATTTTAAAACAAAACTTAATGTTGGCTCTTTGTTCGAAGCTCATTTCCGTACCGATAACACAAACATACACCTAGCACCTAGTTTTAATTATAAAATTAAATTTTGTGATTGTAATTTTAAATCACGACATCATCATCACGACAGAGGATGCAGCGGGATTGAATTACTTTGAAGTAGATGAAATGGACAAAATTGTATGTTTATATATTTAGCACTTACTGCCGCCATATACATATATATCTACATCTGTATGTACATAAGTACGCATACTTAAGATTTTTTCGTAAGTAAAGTATTTAGTATACATATGCACTTATCTACATAGGGGTACTATCAAAATGTGCACGCACATATGTATATACATACTTACATGCATATGTACCTATGTGCTTAATGCCAAGGTACATTTCTCATCGTCTAATTTTATCTCACATGCCGAAGTGTTAATTCCATACAATAAAGAGATTTGCTGGCGACCACAAAAACAATATCAGCGACAAATGCCAGCTGGGCCACACACGTGAAAAAGGGGGCTATGGCAGACACATGTGAATACTCGATATGCTATAACTGCACATTTCAGCAACTCAAGTTCTCATTTCATGTGAACGATGCATGTGCTCKCTCGCCAAAATTAGTTTCATGACCCACCAATTAGCGTATTTATCAAATATTACATATGTACATGCATACATACATACTAATGTGTGATAAATAAAATACAGAATTATTTAAATGTATAATATAATGTGAAGTATATTTTTATTAATTTTGACATAAAAACAATGCATGTTAATTAATTCAAATGCTGATGAAATTATTTTTAGGGTTAATTTTTWAATAATGAATTTCGAAATTTATTTGCATGACAGTTACAAAAGGACCGATATTTAAATATGTCAATATGAAAAAAAAAATGTTTATACATACAAATACATTCATACATACTACATAAGTATGTGTATGCCTGGCTGGAAATGTGCGCAAAAGTATGTATTTGCGTAAATATTGAAATGTGCAAAAAAYTAAAGTGATTTGATTTAATAAACATAACGGAAAAAGGCGTAAAAGATCATAAGTTTGTATAAAAATAAAGTTGAAAAAGTTCAGCAAAAAACTGCATTTTTAAGTGATTTGTCGCCTTTATAAATATAGTATTTTTAATTAAAATCAATTCAAAAACGTATTTTCGACATTTTTATTTACTACTATTATTTTTTGCGGTCGGTCTTTGTTTTGCTTTGCAAAAAATCGCGTGACTGCAAACGTCATAGCGCACGCCCCTTCTTCAATAGCGCACACGCTATCGGCATCGTGACGTTTTCGCCGTTATTGCGGTTTTTTTTTGTTCCTGAAAGTTTGCCAATTGAAAGAAATAAACGTCAATTCGACATATGAAAGCTTGTTCCTTTTCGTCTGTTATTAAGCCATGGGAAATTTATTTTA